TTTCTCTTTGAATTTGTTAAAGCAATGTTTGGATGTGGCTTAATGGGAGGTAAGAGGCCCTAGTGGTGCCAGTGAGGCACTCTGCATTTTGGAGCTGTGGGCCAAGGGCCCAGTGCTGAAGAAGAAAGAAACTGGTGGAATGCATTTGCAAGGACAGATCTTTTTTCTTTATTCTGATGCATATTTTATTTGGGGGCATGTTGTATGTGAGAAAATATGGTATTTATTTTGGGTTCTAGTTTTTGCCCAAAGTGGCCTGTGGATACCTGAAAGGAATCAAGAACATAAAGTGCGCTGTATCCATCTGTCCTCTCCGGTCTGGTGACGGGCTTGGCACAGCAACCATCTCTGACCTGCTTTGCAGCAGCATGCAGTCCACCGAGGTCCTCTGCCATCACCAGTGCTCTTAGGCGTGCTGCCATAATGCGGATAAACGAATGACATAAGACACCCTAAGCCTCCAAGTTCATAAAAAGGATCCAAGGCTGAGGGCAGAGCCACAGCTCTCTCAACACGCTGGCTAAGGTCCCCATCCTGGCCTTTTCTCAGCTTTCTTATTCTTCTTTCAAGCCAACAACTACATTTCTCAGTGCAGGGAAGATTTCCCATTGAGAGTCCTTCTTCCTGCTTTCTAATAGAAAAGACCTGCACAGAGGTTTGCACGGTGCTGCGCAAACATTAGCTGGCAGGGCCCTTACTGCACAGCAATCACTAATTGCTTCCAAGCAAGCAGGAGTCTGCTGGGGGCTTCTCAGAAGTGGGTGTTGTGAGGAGGAGGCATAAGTGCCATTTCGGTATATCGCTGAAGACACCGTTCCTGCTCCAAGGTCTGATCAACATGGAAAATAGGGAGGGGAAGAGTAAAATTAGAAGAGTGTTCATATAAAAAATCCCACCCCACCCCCCTGCAACCCCAAGTCGACTGACTTCAGTAGGCTTCAGATCAGGCCTCCAGGGCTATGTGCATCCTTTGCATCATTCTTGAGAAGGGACAGTCCCCTCTTCTGGCAAACCTCTGTGCAGCCATCATGGAAACCTTGGTGTAGATAGGACTCCTGGCATTTCAGCACCAGGTCATTTGGATCCAGCATTGAAACATCAGAGGTGCAGACAGAAGTGACATTTTTTGGCTGATCTGGCCCTGAAAGGGCTCTACAGCTGTTACCAAACACAAGTGCATGGCTGTAGAGTGCTTTCAAAGGGTTCAACCCTGCAACAGTCTGAACCCTCTTTGCATGAGGGTTCAGGTGAAGATGCTCCAAAATGGGGCGCCTTCAGTAACTTGTGTCTGTGCGTGCTCCTGGTGCTGGAGACTCACCCAACTTCCATGCTGGGCACGAGCCTCAGGACCGAGGCACTCTTGATGTGCTGAGGCTGGGCAGCTTTGGGGCATGTTCTGTCTGGCTCTGGGCTTCTAGGCACTTGTTCCAGGGGCAAACCCCAAGCTTGATATGCCTCTTGGTAGCAGGGACACTGTAGTCTTATTTTCTTGGCCCTGAAACTAGTGAAGTTCTTGTGAACTTCTCTAGGACCTGTTGCACATTCCCATAGTGCCACAGAAGCCATGTGGTTTTCTGTTTTACTCTGTGATAGTGTGATCACGTAACCAAATGATGCACTGCATCTGCAAAGGAATTTCTAACCACAGATTAAATAGTTTACTCATAGAGAACACATGAGATACAGGCAACAAAGCCGGCATACCAACCTCTGCCTTAGTGTCCTTGCCACGCCCAGGGCCCTTTGGATTGCATCAACCTCTATTCAAGTCCCAGATGGACTTTCCCTTTCGGGCATGTTGCCAGCAGATGCAGCATGCAGGGAAGTGATTGTTCCCCTCTATCCAGCACTGGTGAGGCCACATCTGGAGTCCTGTGTTCAGTTTTGGGCTCCCCACTACAGAAAGTATGTGGACAAATTGGAGAGTCCAGCAGAGGGTGACAAAAATGATTGGGGGACTGGGGGACATGACTGGTGAGGAGAGGCTGAGGAAACTGGGCTTATTTAGTCTGGAGAAGAGCAGACTGAGGGGGAGTGAATAGCAGCCTTCAGCTCCCTGCAGGGGGGTTGCAAAGAGAATGGAGCTGGGCTGTTCTCGGTGGGGGCAGATGACAGGACGAGGAGCAATGGGCTTACGTTGCAGCAAGGGAAGTTGAGGTTAGATATTAGGGAGAATTTTCTCACTAGGAGGGTGGTAAAACACTGGAAAGGCTCCCCAGAAAGGTGGCGCAATCTCCATCCTTGGAGGTTTTCAAGGCTGGGCTAGACAAAGCTTTGGCTGGGATGATGTAGTTGGGGCTGGACATGCTAAGCACAGGGTTGGACTCCTGGCGTCCCTTCCAACCCTCATTTTCTGTGATTCTGTGATTCTTGTCTGCATGCCCAGTCCTACCTGCTTCTGCTTCTGATTGCTTCTCTCCAAAGCAGCAGTCAGTACCCTAGAGCCAGCCCCCAAAGACATTGGATCTGGCCTGTGATCTGGTGTACATTTTACTAAAAGCATGCTGATCCCCTGTTACAGCCTAGCCACTGGATCTACTCCATGAGTGCACATGACACTAAACTGTCCCTTGCCACATTTAGGCCGCCCAGAGGACAGGGGGAGGGAGAGATCAGTCCCTCTGCACAGCGCAGCAACTGGGATGGAGCAGAGGATTGTTGGTACAAGTTTACCTAAATGGCAGGTGAGCGTTTCCCTTTTATAAAGTTGCAGTTCTCATTGCCAATGATGCCCATGGGCTGCTTCAGGGCCTTGATCGGGTGATCCACAGCTTGGTTGCAAAGCCTCCTGGGCAAAAGGGTTTTCATGGACAGAACCAGGCATCAGTTTGGTTAGGAAATCTGGCACTTTAATGACACCTAGTCGCTCTGCAGTATTTATCAACCCCTCTGAAAATCTAAAGGACTCAAAGTCTTATCATCAAAAAGGTGCACACAAATCACAATGCAGTTTTGCAGTTCAGATTCAGTGACCCAGTGGGTCCTTCCTAATCCCACCTTCCTGCGTTTGATCTAGATTCACACAGGCATGCCCTAAATCATCACAGCGTGAATCCAGGAAGAAAAACAACGAATGTCATACGACTCATAAGATGACTCAAGTTAACAGCATGCCCTGAGCTTTAGTCAGTGCTGGCAGCTACTTCTGTAGTGCAGGACTCTCAAGCTACTGGAGTTGCATTAGTCTTAACTGCATTGGGAAATTCCCTTTTTTCCCTTCCTCCTTACAGCAAATCACTGCAGACGAAGCCCGTGATTGAAGAACTGAACTTTGTGAGCTCTACAGACCTTCCTGATGCTTGGTCCACAGTTGCCTCATTTTAATTTTTTTTTTTATGCCGGTTCTAGTCTTGAAGTCATTCAAAAAGTTCCCAGCTCTTGAGCTTCAGAAATTTAATGTTAGAAAAAAAGGAACGGACTTTTAAAACATCATTTATGTTTCCTGGAGACCATCTAGGCAGTTTACAACCAATCCTCCCCTTCCATCAATATGAGAAATAGATGCCATTACACAGGGCTATTGCATACAACTGAGCTGGAAGCACCACAGCAGTTTGTCAGAAGGAAACTAAGCCACCTGCCTAAAAAGCAGAACCTCCATGGATGAGATGAAGGGGACATACAACTTATGTTCAGTGCTAAGCAGTTTCCAAAGTCATATTTTGGCCTTTTTGCAGATATTGCTATTTTGCTCAACATATAT